ACTCCATAAGCAATCTGTGACCTTTGGCCAAAAGCAATCAGATTTTGACCTAACCATTCTAAAAATGCAATCAATTCCTTCCTTGCAAATTGAGCCCTTGTATACTCTCCAAGGTTGATTGCCTCCAAATCGACAAATGGATTCTGTTGTTTTGTGAGGCATTTAAATCAAATCTTCCAGATAATAAGCCTAAGTCTGCCTCTTGGGAAAGGCACTTAATACATTTCCTATACAAGGCACTGATGACACTTAGCTTGTGAGGAACCATTTCTATCTTGATGTTGGAACTTGAATGACTTCCAGTCTCCAACAATATTCTATATATCAAAGAAAGTCTCAGAAAAAGTTTGAGAGGCTCATTCATTTTTAGCAGAGTGTGAGGACCAAGGTACTTAACATTAGACCAAAGTGCATTAACATTAGCATTACAGTGAAGGCTTTGTTGTTTTCTTATTTTGCAGAACTCTCTTATTTTGATCTTCCCTTTCCCCTCAGCTAGTTTGTCTTGTTTCCATGATTATCTATTTTGAGAAGTCATGAATCCACATCACTCTTTCAGGTGTATGTAGCCCTTGAAATAGTCATATTGGTGTTACGTGTTCTCTATCTACATTACATAAAAGTATCCCAGAGATCCCATAAAAGTATTCCAGAGATTACAGGTCTCCTAAGAAGAAAAGCAGCAGCTATGGATCCCTTCCTCCACAGAATCTGGAAATACAGTATGCTATGAAATAAGAGAAAATTGACAGCCCAAGAGGTTTTCAAAATAGACCAATCCGTTTTTGGCCTCAGACTGCCATTAAAGGAGACTTGAAAAGAATATAGCCACTCGTTTTGCATTAGGGAGTAAAACAAGTACACTAATTGTCATTCAACCACCATCAGGAGAGAGATCTGTGTGCTACTTTTTTTTTTTTTTTGTAATATACACGATTTTCTCTTGTACAGTGTTAGGCTATTTTGATAACTTCACATGATTTCCATATATAGTTGCCAGACCAGAATGTATGTTACCTGAATGTGTTTTCAAGAATTATGGACTATAATGTCTTTTATGGGTTCTCATTTCCCAAGTTTCCATTTCATTTTTCTCATTAAGCTAGATGGTTAGTTCTTATATTGTCTTATCTCCTTATATCAATAGTTGGTTGTCCATTATATACCCTAGGAATTTTCTCTGTTGATAAGTTATAGCTAGCAGTTTTTATCTTAGTAGGATCTAAATAGTTAAATATCCTTGAGGAGAAGGTAAGTTTAAACTACCTAGAATTGGCATTTTAAATTTCCTACTTTTTCTCTCCCTGAGTCTCCTAACATGATTCCTCTTTGTCCTCTATATTTTTCACTAGTTTTATTGGTATCTGTTGAATATATAACCCAGGATCCTGGGTCCCTGTACCTCCTGTTTGTCCAAGGATCAGGAGAAAATGTGGAACAGTGCCTGGGACTCAGAATATTGACAGCTAGGATGGAAGCTAAGAAAGAAGCTGGTTTGGATCAGAAGAGCACACATTTTATTTTGTCATCTGTTGTTTCTACCTTTCATTCCAATCATTGGCTATGAGCACAAAATACTATTCCTCAGTCTGTTTCCCACTCTTCACATTCTAATTCAAAGGATCTTGGGAGACCATGAAAAATATCTCCACTTGCCAAGAGCCGGACTTCACTGCTAAGGGTGGACAAACCCAATTTGAGAGAGAAGTGTCAATGAAGGTGCATTTGCACTAAACTCTTTGTAGCCTTGGGGTCATATCTCTGTTCTCTCGCTCTCCTGGGAGGTCATGGACACAGAATTGATATTACTACTGAGGATCTATGTCTTGCTTCAGTGTCTAACTCCATTGTTTGCAAATGGTTAACACAACCTTTACATTCATGATGCCTATCAAATTCTGATTTCAACCAGGTTCAAAATCATCTTTGAGTTAGGCAGTTATGGTATTAAGATGAACAAAATAGACATGGCCCATAATTTTAAGGTGCTTTCTGTCAAATTAAGAAGCTGTACCTGTGGGAAGGAAGCCAGTGTTCGGTCAATGAATGCTATGGGTGCAAAAGATTATGGTTGGTGATGAATCAGTGCTGAAACTGGCACTACAAGTTTCCTTCTTTGTGAACAAAATACTACTTCTATTTCTTTAGGAAAATATTTTGGACCAAAACTCTCTGTTTGACTAGAAACAAATCAAGAACCTAGCCAGCCCTAAGAGGGAAAGAACCATCCTCTTACTTTGGCTTAATCGCGATGAAGAAAAACAAAGAAGTGAAACATAAAACTCCAAAAGAGAGAGAAAATCTGGATTATTAGAAATGTCTCCAGGGCCTATCACATCCATGGGTGGAAGAGGAGGAGGGAGAAGAACTTCAGATGTGCTTCACTGGTATCACTAGATTTAGATGCCTATTTTCATATGTATGCTTACAGAATGTCTTAGAGTGTGTTGGTGGTGTTTATTCTGTATGTATTTGTGGTATACATTTTATAATTTTTTTAGTTGTCAATTAACCTTTATTTTATTTATTTTTATGTGTACTGAGGATGAAACCCAGTACCTCACACATACTAGGCAAGTGCTCTGCCACTGAACCACAACCCCAGCCTGTGGTATATATTTGTCTGAATGTATTTGCGGATGTTGGCACATGAGTGAGAATAAGAGTATTTGTATGAATGTGTGTGTTTTAAAAGAGGAGTTTTTGGTAATTTTTTTAATAAAAATCCTAATTCATAATCAATTCGCAGCAGTTAAAAAAAGGGGTGCATATCCATGGTGAATCAGTTGTTCCTGATGGCCTATGAACTCTCTGAATATTGGTTTCCCTAATGTCCTTTTTAAAAAATATTTTTTGGTTGTAGATGGACATAATATCTTTATTTATTTAATTTTATGTGGTTCTGAGGATTGAACCCAGTGCCTCATACATGAAAGGCAAGTGTTTTATCACTGAGCTACAGCCCCAGCCCACTAGCATCCTTTAATGTAGAGTTGAGTTCCTAAAGAGTACTTCTTGAATGGCCAACTGGCTACAACTTTAATGCATTCCTGAGTCTGAAGCTAGATAACAGGTTGAGAGGGGGCAATCTAGACATATGGGCCTCCTTTCTTTCCCTAAGAGATAATCATCTTTTTGAATCCTCATTCATTGATCATACCATTTACTGAGCTCTCCTTAAGTGTCAAGTGATATAAGTGCCTGGGAAACCATGAAGACTCAGCATTTGCTGTCAAGGAGTTCACAGGGAGTCTACTTTACCCTTAACCACTCACATACTGTATTAGCTTTTCATCCCCATAACCAAAATACTTGATAAGAGTAACTTTGAGAAAGAAAAGTTTACTTTGGCTCATGATTTCAGAGATTAATTCCATGGTTGGCCAACTCCATTGCTTTGGGGACTGAAGTGAGGTAGAACATCATGGTGAAAATGATGTGGTAGAGTAAAACTGCTCAGATCATGGCAACCAGGGTCGATGCAGTGGAAAAACAAGACAGACAATAGAGAGAGAGACAGAGAAAAAGAGAGGAGGGGACAAAACATAATCGCCAAGGGCGTCCTCCCTCAATGATCTACTTCCTTAAGGCATGCCCCATTTGCCTACAGTTATCACCCTGCAGTTCATTCAAATTATTAATTCATCAAAGGGATTAACTCACTGATAATAATTGCCTAGAACTCTGAGCCTTGCTGTATTGGGAACCATGTTTCCAAAGCATGAGCTTTTCAGGAGACATTCCAGATCAGAAATATATACATATTAATAGCTTCCTTTCCTGAGAACTAATCTTCTTTTCTGACTCCTAGACTTCACTCCTAATGGATGAGTATGTCAGTATGTCTAAATTTGCTTTCAGCCGCATTTTCCTCCTTGCAGTCCATTCTATATAGACCACTACATAAGTCATTCTAAAACAATATTATTATATTTTCACAATCCTACTCAAATCTCTTTAGTGGCTCTGCATTACCTACAGGAAAAACTCTACCACTTCCCTATTCAAATGCTTGTATTTACTCATTAGGTCAAAAGAAGCCCTCTCCCCTCTTAATACAGTGTATGTATGTGTGTGTATATATATATATATATATATATATATATATATATATATATATATATAGAGAGAGAGAGAGAGAGAGAGAGAGAGAGAGAGAAAACATACTTTCCCAGATATTAAATTTTTTATTCTCAAAACATTTAGCATCTAATAACTGCCAGGCATACAGAGGAGATAATTGCTTCTTTGTTTATATGATGATTTGATCAAATATCTGATATCAGTAGGTACTGATGTGTGGCCTATTAGTATGAAATGTCTCACCTTGATGCCTCACAATATTCTTTGTTTTTGCAGCAAGAGAGAATGATGGGAGAAGAAGCACTTTTCTTGCAGATGGCTCATGATCATCTCCTTGCTAACTCTGCTATGTCCTGCCATATTCTTTAAGTCTATCCCAAAGGTGTCATCCTGCCTACATATATAGAAGGATCAGTATCCAGTAGTGGTTTAGACTCTTTCTCCAAACTCCTTGAATCACTCCAGTCAATTCATGACCTCAGTGAATTAAACTCAGTTGCAAAGAACAGACTTCTTGGATGACACTGTTGGCTGCTTATGCAAGGATCCCTACCAAAATGCTCTCCTCACATTATCTATTTGTAGTAGTATATGTATGGTGTTGGTAAAGTATAAAGGGAAAGGGTGGAGAAAATTTGATTGCAGATAGGGAGCCACGCCAAGTTTTTAAGGGTATTTTGTGGAAGAAGACAAGGATTCGCCTGCTGTGGGTCTGTACTTTTATTTATGAATGGTTAAGGATAGCAGGGGAAAGATGGATTTGGCTAAACCTAGACTAGTGAGGGTACAAAATTCATGTGAAACAAGATTTCTCCTCAGAACACAGCTACAAGGCCCTGCTGTAAGAAAATACCAATTTGTTTTCTTAAACCTATTGCGTCATTTTTCATTTTTATCTTCCTAGGAAGTAAACTTACCATGTCCGTGTCAGACACAGGGCCAAAACTGGTCACATAGATGTCAGTCTTCACTTCAGTCACGGCATCTGAGCAAAATAAAGTAAAAAGAAGCAGAATATCATGAAAGAGTGTTGCCTTAGATCAGAGAGAATACTTGCTATTTCTGAGAAAAGATGTTTCACACACTCATAGGAAAAACCCCTCAAGAACTTCTCACCTGTCCTGTACTTCACAGAGAACATGCTAGATACAGGCATAAAGTAGGTTTCTATTTTAGTCAGTTGTTTTTCTTGCCTTGAAAAAAAAACTACCTGACAAGAATAATTTTAAGGAGGAAAAGTTTATTTGGGGGCTTGCAGTTTCTGAGTTCTCAGACCATTGATGGCTGATTCCATTCCTCAGAGGCCAAGGGGGAAACCTCATATCTAAACCATAACAGCTCATCCCTGGCCACCTAAAATTCAAGGCCATTTCATAATGCAAAACACATTCAGTCCATTCCTAGAGTCCCCATAGTCTTAACAATTTTAGAACTGTCCTAAAGTCCAAGTCCAAAGTAGCCTGTGATACTCAAGGCAATCTCTCATTGTGCACTCCTGTAAAAATCAAAAGATTCTGCAATCTGTATATGGGGTAAAAATGGGAGTTCATAACCCACTTGAATCAAAGTGTGAAATATGATATATCAAGAACTATGTAATATTTTGAACAACCAACAATAAAAAATTTTTTAAAAAGCAAATTGCAAATATCCAATATATAAAGGCATAGAGTAAACATTTCCATTACAAAATGAAAAAATAGGGGCATAGAAAGTTGGGATAGGACCAAAGTAAGACTGAAATACATCTGGGCAAACAAGTCCTCTAGTCCCATGTGTGCTATTTGGAGCACAGGAGATAATGATGTACTCTCCAAAAGGCTTGTGTAGCTCTGCCCCTGTGACCTTGTTGGTTGCAACCTACCTGGCCTCTTTGTTGGCTTGTTTCTGCTTGATTCCTGCAGTTTTCCTCAGCAGACTTCCCACATTACTGTCATTTCATAATCTCAGGGGTCTCCAGAAGCTTTGGCTTCTTTCTCTCATCTCCATGCAATGCCCTCTCAGGGGCAGCCCATAGGCAATCCTCCCAATTGCACTTTGCCTGGCCTCCCAGGCCTCCCTTTGAAATCTTGGTGGAAGCCTCCATGACCCCCTAACTCCAGCATCCTATAATCCTGCAGAACCAGCACCTCATGGTTGATGCCAGGGTCTTTTGCTGTGTTGAGCAGTAGCCAAGCCTCCAGAAACTACAGCAGCAGTCTCTGAATGCCTTGGTGGATGCACTTGGTGAAACAAATTCTTACCCCTACCCATGCAAGTAGGGTACCCCACTGGGCTCAAAGAAATTTTTACTTTTATACCCTTGAACCTGAGATAGATGTGGCTTGCCCATTTCCTAGATTTCCTCAAGCCATTTTGTCCTATTGTTTCTGGATAAAGTTTTTACCATTTCTTTAGTGACTGTAATGTCTTTAACATTCGTTACATCTTCATTAGCCCCAGTTTTATTCACAGTTTTCTGGCCAAAATGCAAGATTTTCAAATCTTTCTGCTCCTGATTATCACAATAAACTTGGCTGAAATTTGCCAGTAATATCCACACCGTTGCCTGAATATTATGCCGCCTAGAAATTTCTTCTGCCAGATTAATAGTCCATCATCTTTAAATTCAGTCTCACACACTAGTATAGCAATATGTAAAACAGTGGATGTGTAACCGATGTGATGCTGCAATCTGTATACGGGGAAAAAATGGGAGTTCATAACCCACTTGAATCAAAGTGTGAAATATGATATGTCAAGAACTATGTAATGTTTTGAACAACCAACAGTAAAAATTAAAGGAAAATAAATAAATAAATAAATTCAGTCTCACAGAAATCTCAGGACTTGGGCAAAATATAGACAACTTTTCAGCTGGAACATAACATGAATAGCCTACAGTCTAGTCTTCTGAGCTCTCACCAGAATTCCCTCTTCAAGTCCACTTATAACAATCTGAAACTTTTCCAGCTTGCATTGCTAAACTTTCTAAAATTCCTCCCACAAATTCCAAAAATCCCCCAAACCTTGTTCAGGTTAGTACAGCAACAACCCCACTTCTCAGTATTAATTTTTTCTGTTTTAGTCAGATTTTATGCTATTGTGATCAAAAGATCTGACACGAACAATTTTAAGGAGCAAAAATTTATTTGGGGGCTCATGGTTTCAGAGCTCTTAATCTATAGAGAGCTGACTCCATTTCCAGTGCCCATGGCAAGGCAGTATGGTGGAGGAAAGCATCTAGGGACATGGAACTAGAAAGCAGAGAGAGAGAATTCATCAACAGAGATAAAATATATACCCCAAGGGAATGCCCCCCAAGATCTACCTCCTCCAGTCACACCCTACCTGCCTTGAGTTACCACATATTTAATTTCTATCAGAGGATTAATTCTCCCATTGGGTTTAGACTCTTATAACCCAAATCATTTCACCTCTAAACCTTCTTGCATTATCTTACACATGAGCTTTTGGGGGGACATCTCATAGTTAAACCATAACAGTATCTTTTTAGGTAGCACTGCAAATTACACCAGATTCCCAAAGCAACATAATTTAGAGAGGGCACTTAGAGATCCCTAGTATTCACTCATGTTGGGTTCTCTCACTAGGTTTACCATTACCTGTGTTAGGTTACAAATGTTGCAAAATCCAGCTCTCTCCCACTTCTAGGAACCTAAGTAGATTGTACTACCACTCCCTTGCTCACATAAAGTATAAATGAGCAATGTGGCTGGTTCAAGTTGTGGGAAGAAGTATTGTGTCCCTTTCTTTCTGGAAAATTTAAGGTCTAATGCAAGGTCCTCTATGCAGAAGAGATCATGGAAACAAACACATTTGATGTGGTGCTACCATAAGATCAAAAGAGTCTGGAGTGACGAGCTATGAAGGACAACTGCCTTAGTGAGTAGTCTGGGTCCGCAAGAGACTTTACATGAATGAGAAATACATTTTTGCTGAGTGACTGAGGTCTGGAGATAATTGATATCACATGATACATTCTCTTTACATTTATTTTTTTCTTTATTATACTATCCTAATTGAAGAGCTTCTGAAGGGCAGCATCCCTGTTTTATCTCTATACCCTCAACATACAGAATAGTGGTTTGTTACTCAGGGGGTGTACACTAAGCACTTTTTTGTATTAATGGATGAATCCCATCGCATATTTGTCATGTGGCAAAATAATACTGTCTTAGTCCATTTTTGCTGGCATAACAAAATTCCTTAGACTGGATAATTTTTAAATAACAGAAATTTATAGCTCACAGTTTTCAAGGCTGGGAAATCCAAAATCAAGACCCCAACAAAACTGAGAGCCCATTCCTCATATATGGTATCTTCTGTATCATCACATACTGGAAGGGGCTAAGAAGTATTCTTAAGCCATTTTTATAAAAGCACTAATCCCATTCATGGACTAATCAGAACTGCAAGGCCCCACCTCCTAATACTATCACAGTGAGGATTAAGTTTCAACATAGGAATATTGGAAAGACACAAACATTCAAATCATAATGGATACCCAGAAAATGAAGCTATCCCCCTTCTAAGTTTCTTGTTTTCTGCTTCCATAAGCCCTGTTTATCTCACTGCAGCTCATTTGGCCTACTCATGCCAGCGTGTCTCAGAGCACAAGGCAAAGCAGCCTACTCCAGACGTAAAGCCCATATCAGTAAGTCATCAAAGTCCCACTCTAGGTGAGCATGCCTGACCCTAGTGGAGATATCATCAATAAAGCCTACACAAGATTTTATATATGTGTATAATGAATTGGTTACTGAAGCCTAGGGTACTATTTCTTTTCTTTCACAGAGAGGTAAAGCATTTACCTCCTCCATATGTACCATATTCTCTGCACTCAGGCAGTCCTGGATTCTCCCTGAATATACTTCATATCTTGTTGATTTCTCACATTCCAGAACTATCCCTGAAGAACTGATGGGTTCAATATACTCAAGGCCAATGCACTCATCCAAAAACATTCCATTTTCAGAAGAGACTATAAGTATCATTTAGTAATAATCAACACTATAATCAATTCACCAAAAGACACAATTTGCTCCTAAGCTTAATCAGCAAATAACATGTCTCTAAAACTAGAGTTGTGTTTTAAATAGTTGGGCTCTTGTCTAGGGTACAGGCTGCCTCAGAGCTATTTCTGTACTTGAAGGAGCCGAGTCTATGCCTCAGAACTCATAATACGACTCCTAAAGGTATGTTTCCTCACACATACTACCAGGCTCATTTGCTGGTGGAGCAAATCCATTACACCTACTATTTGGCATAATGACTCCAATTGCCCTACTCCCAAGTACATAAAACACAATTAATTAATCAATGGAAGAGATCATAATCACATTAGAATCCTACATAATAGGCAGGACATTCCAGACACACAACGACTTTCTACACCAATGGAATTGTACAATTTTAAAAGAGTTATATACATTTTCAACAGAGGACTCAGCTTACAGGGGAAAATGAGAAGAGAGTTGATGACAAGATATTACAAAATTCAAGGATATTATAGGACTGGAGAGATCTTGTGTAAAGTTGCCCAGCTTTAAAGTGACAAAAAAAGATCTCCTGTCAAAATTCCCTTCTCTTCCTTCTACTTCTCAGGCCAAGTCAGCACTTAATGACACCTAGTGGAACAGTCAAGTGGCAAGAGGCTGTACTAATTCTAAGGGTACAAAAGGAACCAGCCATAAGAAAGAGCCCTGGGTTAGTCAGAAATACTTGTGTTCTGGATCTCTTTTCCTGACTTGGTATAAGCTTTACAAAAGAATGTGTTTCTTTGGTTACTCTTTAGCTGCAGAAAAGGGGATTTTGGAAGTTCACTCTGGTAATCAGTCTGTTATAATGGATACCAAACCCCTTCTTTAATTTCAAGAGAAAATCTGGCAGGTAAGAGAATTAGGGGAATTGAAATAAAAAGTGGGGGAGAGGAAAGGTAAAGGACAGAGGTAATTAAAAAGGATTTGAGGTAAAAGATGGAAA